GTTGTCCTGATTGTGATCGTAAAAGCTGTGAACTGTTAACCAGCGTGTTTTTGAACGGTTACCCTCATGAGCGTTCACCAGCGCTTTTGTGGCGGTTGTCCTCAAACCTTCTGTGTTAATGCGCTTGTATTCAACCGTTCCTGAGCGGTTTTTTCACCGTTGCCCTCTAGTGTTCTTCATGCGACAATCTTCCAGCGTACGCAGTTTTTTAGAGGATTTTTGTCAGCGGAGTTCTAGCGGTAATCTTCAAGTGTGGTTTTCCAGCAGTTCTTTTCACGCATAACTTGGCGTTGTTGGATAACCCTCCAACGCTTCTCAGCAGTTTTCTAAAAACATTTATAAGAGATTTTATTAGCCGTTGTCTTCAAGAAGTTATCAGAGGCGCTGTACCGGTTATATCCAAGCATTCTTGGTAGTTTTTGTAAGAGTTGTGTTCAACCAGTGATGAACAGCTTAGTAGCAGATATCTTCAAGTGGTGATCAGTGTTGTTGCTTTTGTGGCAGTTGTCGTTAATAGCTCGTCTGTAGTGGACTGTACCATATCCATTTCTTGATAACCCGGTTTAAGCTATCATCAGCAGTGTTCTGGCGAATGCCCTCAAGCATTAGTAACGTTGCTGTAGCGGTTGTGTTGAAGCGTTCATCAGCGGTCTTGCAGTGAAATCAATGCCTTCAATCCTTCATCAGTGATACTTTGACGGTTTTATCTAATCCTCCATCAGCAGTGAGGTAGCGGTAGAATCGCGTCTTAGGGCTACATGTAGGTTGTACGGATTTGATAAACATTGGCGGTAATATGTCAAGAAGGGCTGTTTGACCACAGCGGCAGCCCACGAACAATCCAGGCTCTTAACTTGTATTCAAATGAGGCAGCTGTCATAGCCTTGATAATCCTCCAGTCCATTTTTTCCTATCACAGGCATAGTGGTAGCCTCCATTTTGAGATTTACCAGCCGGCTCTTACTAATATACTAATGAGCACCTCATGCAGATAACTTTGTATTACGCTGATATCTAACTTCGACGATTTTCCTTTTAGCTCGAGTATTTTTAGTACTGCAGTGATCTGACGCGGGTTAACGCTCCTTTACTACGATATGAAATAATAAGTTTGAGAAATTTACTGAAGTCGAGATTTCCAGCTAACCCTAAGACTGTTTTCTTTTTCTTATCTAGGCGTGTAACTTTCCAATTTGCTTTATTTGAAAAATTTAGTTTTTTCTACACTAATTAAAGACCGAAAACGTCTGAAGAGGGCCACTTGGACATAGCCCTGATGAACGAAAATTCTCCGTGTTTTTGATTGATGATATCTCTCTATGTCGAAGGTCATTTCGCCAACCAGTGTTTATATAATGCGTGGAGTCTATTTTAACCGGAAAATGAAGTGCTCTGATACTGATAGTCTGAAATAGATATCTTATGAAAGTTTAGTCAGTAAACCCAAAAATTTCATATCGCTTTACGACTATCTTTGCCCGCAGCTCGTTTATATCCAGGCGACCTGTTAACTTTTGGCTGCTTAGTTTTGGACCGCTACAGTCAATGCTAAAACACCAATTGTTACAAAATTCAAGATATTTTTGCTGGGTTGTACTTGTTGATATTTACTGTTGTTTTCACCTACTTAATAGTTATAATCTCCTCATACTTTCGGCAGTCATTGTGCCACCTCTCAATTCAAACACAAACCAAATTTAAGGCTTTATATGATGCATACATAGTACTTACAGTTTTCCTGTAGCTCGCGGAATTTTCTTTGGAATTGACTTAAGCTGTTTTCTTTCACAATTGGCTGATACTAAACCCTTCATGTTACCTTTAAGGGCATTGCATTGGCACGGTTGAGGGCACGCTGACGAATAAAAACAGACTTCAATTAAACTTTTTATTTGAATCATACTTATTTTAATCGATCACTTTTATTTTAAGATTTTATAACCGAAAGCTATGAAATCAAACCGATGATGGTACGTTACAAAGTAAACCATCCGTTTAGCGGCATTCCTTCGCATTATCAGAAACTAAAACGTCACCCATTGAAATGAAAGGCAAATTTCCAATCAGATTTTTAAAATTTTGCTCTGCCCTTTGTAACAAAAAGTTCCTTTTTAATCACTGGCATGAGTATCAATCGCTATGAATAAAAATTATCTAAAATAATTAAATATCGAGATTTGTTGGGAATTTAAGGTATTCTTTATTGTTTTCCTTTTGATTTGTCCAAAGATGAGAAGAAAAGTTTTTAATGTTAATAGACCGAATATAACCATTCTCAATTTCCTCATGTAACATGTACGTCGCGCAACTGAAATGGCCACCCTGACCGAAAACGGCCCTTAGCTTCCCGGCCTCTATGGAAATTGGTTTTGTTAGGTGCATTTTTTCTCGAACGTAGTTGAAGTAATGGACATGCGTTTGGGTGATTATTATTATTATTATTATTATTATTATTATTATTATTATTAGCAAAAGCAGTAAAAGCGTCTG